CTGACCCCAGCCATTGCCATTGAGCAAAAGGTGCATTCCAATAATCCACGGTCTACTGTAGGGACCGTCACCGAGATTTATGATTATTTAAAATTATTATTTGCTCGAATTGGGGAAACCCATTCGCCCATATCGGGTCAAATTGTTAAAAAACAAACCGTTACCGATGTGATAACAGCGCTTAATGCCATGCCCATTGGCCAAGCGGTGGTGTTGGCATCGCCTTGGATTTGTCCGACTGAACGATCGTTTTCAGAACATTTGCGGATTTTACAAATGCAGGGCTATACTCGGCTTATGGTGGATCAAAAACCCACCACCATAGCCGATTTACTGGATTTCGGGTTTGAACCTCAGCCATCGCATCAAATTTGGCTAGTCATCGATCGATTCCACATTCAACAAGAGGAATCATTTTGGCATCGGGTGGCCGATTCCATTCAAACGGCTTTTTTTGAAGGCCATGGTCAGTGCATGATTTGGTCTGAAGAACAAGGAACGCAGGCTTTTGATCACCGTTTTAGTTTGGATGGTATCGATTTTATGGAGCCTTCTGTTGGCTTGTTTGGGTTTAACAATCCTCAAGGGGCTTGTCCCAAATGCGAAGGATTTGGAAAAGTATTGGGGGTTGATTCCGATTTGGTAATTGCCAACCCCAATTTATCAGTATTTGAACAGGTGGTGGTGCCTTGGCGAAGCGATAAAATGCAACAGTTTCAAAAAGCCTTTATCTTAAAATCCAATAAGGACGATTTCCCCATCCATAAACCATACAAAGATTTAAGTAAGGCCCATAAACAATATTTATGGAAGGCCATCGATGATTTTTTTGCTTGGCTAGAATCCAAGGTTCATCAAATTCAGTATCGGGTGATGCTATCCAAATATAGAGGCACCACCGTTTGCCCGTCTTGTGAAGGGGGGCGGTTACGTCCTGAAGCGACTTATGTTCGTGTGGGAGGCTTTACCATGGCTCAATGGGTGTCCACGCCTTTGGAGGATTTACAGCCGATGATGGAACAGCTGTCGATAAGCCCACTGCAGCAAAAAATTGCCGACCGATTGCTCAATGAAATCACATCGCGCTTAAAGGCCATGAACCGTTTGGGATTGGGATACCTTACCCTAAATAGAGGGGCTGGAACGCTTTCTGGGGGCGAGTTTCAACGGATGAATTTGGCCACCAGTTTGGGCAGTCCATTAGTGGGCTCTACCTATGTGCTGGATGAACCAAGCATAGGGCTTCATTCTAAAGACACCCAAGCATTGTTGCAGGTTCTAATAGAACTAAGAGACTTGGGCAATACGGTGATGGTGGTTGAACACGATGAGGATGTGGTAAAATTGGCCGATTGGGTTATTGATGTAGGCCCATTGGCGGGCGTTTATGGAGGCCATATTCAATATTCGGGGCCGTATGAGCAATTTGAACAGGCCGATTCATTGACGGCTCAGTATATAAGAGGCTTAGAGCGCATTGATCTGCCAACCATTCGTCGACCATGGCAGAAGTCTGTTAATTTGAATGGGGTGTTCATTCATAATTTAAAAAACATTCAGGTAGAAATTCC